CTACCTCGCGAAGCAGCTTCACCGAAGCTGCCTAACAAAAGATGTTCGATCCCTTTGCAGAGGTGTACATAGGCTCACAACGCTGTAGAGCGGTAGTTACCCTCTCCGTTTGCGGGGCATGAGCAAGCCTACAGTGGCTCATAGCGATGGCTGCCATGTCCTCGCTAGAGGCATGCACGGGCTCACAAAACTGCATGGAGACAGCAGCCCTGTCCTCGCTGGAGGCAAACACGGGGTTACGAGGCTGTATGACGACAGCTACCCTGTCCTCGTTGGAGGCGTACAGGGGGTTACAAATGCTGCATAGTCACTGGTGCCCAGTCCTCGCTGGAGGCATACAGGGTCTTCCGATTGCTGGCAGCAATTTGCTGCGTAGCCACAGCTGCCCTGCCCTCGCCGGAGGCATACAGGGCCTTACAACCGCGGCATGTCGACAGCTGCCCTGTCCTCGCAGGAGGCATACAGGGTCTTACAAATGTTGCATAACGACAGCTGCCCTGTCCTCGCTGGAGGCATACAGGGTCTTACAACCGCGGCATGTCGACAGCTGCCCTGTCCTCGCAGGAGGCATACAGGGTCTTACAAATGTTGCATAGCGACAGCTGCCCTGTCCTCGCTGGAGGCATACAGGGTCTCACAACTGCGGCATGTCGACAGCTGCCCTGTCCTCGCTGGAGGCATACAGGGTCTTACAACTGCTGCATGTCGACAGCAGCGTAGAAGGGCTTGTGGTAGCTCAGCGACGGTCACCACGTCTTCTTGCACAGGTATACACGGACTCGTAGTAACTCATAACGACGGTTGCCGGATCTTCTTGCTGAGATATACATGGGACCCACGTCATGGGTCTACAATATCGCGTGGCGACGTAGGAGCAGCGATCGAGGTGACCATGAGAGACAGCTACATCAGAGAGCCCGAACAACGCAAAGTTCGATCTAGAGTGGGCACAAAAGCAAGCAGGCATATGATGACCTAAGCTCCATTACTCATGAACCTCACGATTGGCAACGATA